AATAAAACCGAAAACGTTTTTATAACCCCGAAAATTTGTACGAACAGCACCGATAGCGTTGTTTTATAACAGACTCAACAGAGTGCACAAAATCGGCATTATCATCACGTATGGATAGATCGGATTTGTAGACAAACTAATATTGTCCGAAGCAAACTCAATTTCTTTTCTGTTCAGGCATCTTATTTTCGTAGTAATCTTTTTTCACATTCGTTCACCTACTGATCAAGCAAATCGTCTCCTTAGCGTGATCGAGTTGACAAATCATTAGAGAGGGAAACCGACAGATTCGAAAACCAATAATATTACTTGAGCAAAACTAATCATAATTGATAAGATATTCACATGATGGAGTCATGACTACTACACAAAGATGTCAATGAATGACACAAAGTTTCCGAGCGCAGTCGCATTCTCTTGGGAATAACTACTGTTCTTCACGGTCCTAGTAAAGGGTTGAAAATATCGGAAATTATGGTAAATATGAAATTAGCCACACCAAATGATACAAAAATACAATATTGAGAGACGACGTTTCGTTTATCGTGAGAATCCATAATCAGTTTGATTAAATTGATTAACAGAAATTTGCAAACTTCGAGAAACATTGGAGAAAGTAGGTATTTGTGATCCGGTTACGTCCCGGACCAGGTAGGGCGGTAACTTATTGAGGGGAATCGAGGGGTGGGAGGTGGAGGGTAATTGGTCCAGGTTCTGAGTTCACGGTTTACAACACTGATTCAAGAATCTTGAACATATTTTTTCATTTGGTTATTCATGTGTGTTCTTGCTATCTTGAACGCATTGACCATACTTGATGTAATGACGAAAACATGGCTTTCCACTTTAGGAAACCTCGTCAACAAATCTTGCATTTTGGTTTCATTTTTTGTGGCTGATATCTGCGACGCGTACAAGAACCGACATTAGCTCACTCTGATGTGACAGTAAGGAGATGCTCCATTACCAGTGATACTCAATAGCACCTCTAATCAAGCTTTACTCAGACACCCTAAAGAAAAACCGGGTGGAAACGCGTGAATGCTTTGCACATGAACCACAGTGGAAAATTGTGATACAAGACAGGTTTGGGGAGGGCCCGGGATTTCACGATGATCATTCATTCACCTGTGACTCGTACAATTGATTTTGGCCCTTCTTCCACTTATTCACCATTTCTCTAATCCGTAACCAGAAAGAAAGAAAATAGAGTCCATTGCATACTGATATTGTCCAATGTTATGGCTAGATTGGCTTTATTGCCGTTACCTAATCAACCCGCTTTGTCCACCATGGACGCAGAAGTTTTCGACCAGATCTATCCCACCTATTAATCGCATTTTCTTAATCTGGGCGGTGCATTTTATTTCCTCCTGAGCTAATCAAAGACAATTATAGTCATATTGAACGTATCCTATTCATCACTCGAGAATCTGTTCATGGGATTGTCGTCTCCGCTGACACGTGTATCACCCTGTTGGAACAGTAATGGTTTATTACTGATCGATCACCAACTTGGTTACCGAGACAGTAATGCAACGGGTAACTTTGCACACACACAGATTGAAGCGACACCAGTTACGGTAGACTGTAGTATGTTCACCAAATATTTGACTCAGAATGTGAGCAAACTAATTCCTGCGTATGTTGTAAGATGCACAGCATCTGGATCGTTGAGTACGTATTAGAAAAAATTCTAAACCAATCGAGTGACAGTGAAAAATGTCGGTGGTGCGTGGTGCTATGCGCTCCTTGAACCCAAATACGATTATCCATATCGCAAGGGGAATGGATGGTAAACGGTGTTCTGTTTAGGGTATGAAACTTTAGCGGGGAAGTCCATTATATCAAAGTGATAAAATGAACCGTACAATGACCGGTTGCATCTCATGCTTTTAGCGATAAGATGAAACCTCATAATGAACGACGAGTTCAACTACATGTCCCATCGAGCTTTTACCAAAATTGGTTGTTCTGTATTTGCGACTCCAAAGCCTTTAGTCTTCATCCATGATTCCCTAGCCACAACCAAGATAGTCCCTTGGCCTCGACGCACAAACTTTAACCATACTAATATAAAAGCGGGTCAGATCAAATGTGTCGAAGTATTCTGCCCGTCGCGGAAAAAGAATTGTAGGTTTTGGCTAAAAATAACTAGACCACTTTTTATATTTTCATCCACAATTTTTCTAAGTGGATATGATATCTGATCGATTGTTCACATTAATAACGGTTTTCCAGCGGGGCTTCTATTAGGGCCAATGCAAATACACTCACATCTACCAATCCACATGAACAGCACCGTGAGCAAACACTAATGTTTCCGCTGAGCGAACTTCCTTTAGACTTACTCAGATCGTAATCATACTTTAACATTTGTGACACACTTTAAACAGATGATGGATTGCTATAAAGATAATTATTGGTGTGTTTACGTGTCGTTGTATTAACTGGATTTAAAAGAGGTTCTCTTGACAACTCCTAAAGAGAATTTGGTTGATAATAATAATAGCAATCATAAACGTACTATCGTTGAATCCTCCATTTATGTTTCCCTGAGTATTTTTAATCTGAAGTAAATCCTCAATGATTATAATTTTTTATTGTTTACTGGACACCGGGTTTCTATATCTGAAATACATTCTTCACAAATGATTGTAGTCGGAAGTATCAATTATGTGTCATTTCTTATCGTATGTCGAGTGCACTGTTGTCTATATTTTGTAAATTTCATGCTTGGATCACCG